GGGGGGTATTTCATAAGCCGACTTAGTAATTTTCTTGTCGCTCTTGAACCATTTCTGCTTAGCCCGTTTTGAAAAGCAGCTACCGCCATCCCTTCTGATACATTGGGCAAAGTCATTCTTTCTCGGTTAAAACGGGGGAGGAAGTCCCTCAGCCCTTTTCCCAGGGACTGTTTGATAGCAAAGATGTTATTCACTCTTGCCTCGGCCTTCTTGGCCCCGGCATAGGCTGTCACGAACTTATCGGCCATTTCCTCGAAGGTTTTGATGGAACGTGCCGCCAGTTGTGAGTATCAGGTCAATGCACTTCCCGTGAGTACCAGGTCAAGAAATTAGTTTTCATGTGAATATTATTCAAACCATGTAAATTATGATCAGTGAATCAGTTTATTAGCAACTTTTAATCCATGTAAAAATGAGGGGAAAAAAGCTAGGTGAGTGCCTTCTTTTTCCCTTCCTTTTTCTAGTAATTGAAATGGGCCATGGTACTGGTTGAAACTGAGAATAGGAAAATACTGATTCACAAGTATAGGCATCAAATGAAAGGTACCCAACTCACCTCTAAAATTGTGGTGAAATGGATGAGAGTCTTTACTTTTAATTAGATGTTCGAATTCTGGAAATAATAAAAATTCTAAAAAGGAATACTTTTCGTTTTCAATAAATTTTTACACGGTGCATATTTGAATTTGTCGAAATCCCAATATTAGACGCATATTTAAATTCGTCGGAACTCCAATATTAATATGGAACAAAAAAAAGAAACTAACTCCATCACAAACACGCAAGGGCTACCTTAAAAAATGTGCTTGCCTACCCAACTTAATGGCTGCCACATACATGTATATAAGTTTCCTAATTTATGAAGGAATCTCAGCATTTTGAAAAACACTAACAATAGGAGGTTACCTTACTTTCAAGCAATGTCATTCTTTAGAAATCTATTTACTAGTTTTAGGTCAAATACCTTGCGTCATTGTCAAAATGTATTAACTTGAGTTGCATGGCTCTTGGCAATAATTTTTCTTTCTGTTAATCATTAGAAGAGTTAATTTATCTTGATATCATAAATATAACTTTTTGACGAATTATTTGTTTTAGTTCCTTCAATTTCCAAAAACAAAATTTCAAGGTTGATGAAAAGAGGATATTATTATCAAATGAAATCTATATAAAATTACCTTTACTCACTCTCTTGACTTCACTAAAATTATGATTCAAATTCTAATAGAGATGCAATACGTTAGATAAAATTTTTATTATGTTTCTTACCCTTTTTTTTTATTTATGATGTTTAATTAGTGATGGATAGAGTTATTTAATATTTGTATTGATGAAAAATAATAAATACATAGAAAATAATCGAGATATGCATTGATCCAGACGAGGGAACGAGCGTTCATGGTCATTTACAATGTTGAAATTTAAAAAGTATCATTTAGATCTCTTATGGGTAAAAGATAGATCTCATCTGTGTAAAAGCAAAATTTTCATATGTAAAAAAAAAAAAAATAGAGTCATAAAATTAAAAACAAGTTTGTAAAGGTCTATAAAATTATTTGATCGGGTCCGGACACCATTATTATAAAATTAAAATACTATATGATTGCCTAACTTTATTTGGCAGGATTAGCAATGAGTAACCCCATATCATATTATCATTTGTACACTATAATAGTAGTAATAAAGAACTTACTGGAATTAGGTAATGGATTAAAAAGTGGAAAGAAATAGGAAAGGGATTGTGACAAAAGCAGACAAATGAGAATCTTGAATATGGCTGCCACCTAAATTTAACAATCCAAAAATATAACATAAATATTTTAATGAACAAAATCACAAATATTATCCTTCTTCTTCCTCTCCCCCCATGTCTGAAGTATTTGAGTACTTCTCTGACTTGTGCAAGTAACTCTATTCCTTTTTTCTCTCTTCGTCCTCCCCTCCTCNTTGAGGTTTTTGCTATAAAGGGTCTTTGTTATTTGTCTAAAGGTAGTTTCTTTTGGTGTCTATCTTGATTTTTTATTGAAGTTCTTCAAGACGAAATTAGACAAAGAGTGGAAATTAAGTTGGGTAAAATTGAAATGAGATATATTTGGCATAGTTAATGCGTAGTTGTGCTTTTTGGTTATGAATCTTCTTAAGTTTCTGTGTCAACCTGGAATTATTTTTGAGTTCTTATGTTGAGTAGTTAAAGGATATCTAGTAGAAAGTAGCAAAAATGAGTATGTTGAGATGCATGTGCTGGCATACTAGGTTGGATAAGATCAGGAATAAAATATTCGGCTAAAGGTGGGTGTTTGGGCACGTGCAAAGGAGAAGCCTAGATGGCCCGGTAAGGAGGTGTGAGCAGTTAGCTTTGGCGGGTATGAGAAAGGTAGAGGACTAAGAAGTATTGGGAGAGGTGATCAGACAGGACATGGCGCTAGCGGAGGACACGGCCCTTGATAGGAAGGTGTGGAAGTTGAGCATAAGGGTGGAAGGTTAGTAGGTAGTCGAGCGTTTTTCTACTCCGTACCTGGTGTAGGACTAGTCTGATAGTGTCTTGTCTTAGACTGCTAGTAGTACATGTTGTTTTCATACTATTTTTCCGCCCGGTTTCCTAGTATATTGCCATTGTTACGGGCTATTGCTATTGCTTTTTCCATCTATTTCCTGGTTCTTAAGTTGCTGGTAATATCTCTCCGGCATTTGTTGTTGTTACTGTTCTATTGTTTCTTTTCATCTTCTTGAGCCGAGGGTCTATCGGAAACAACCTCTCTACCCCAGGGTAGGGGTAAGGTTTGCGTACAAACTACCCTCCTCATACCCCACTTGTGGGATTATACTGGATTGTTGTTGTTGTTTGTTGTTGTATTGACTTTTTTCGCGTTTCTGGTGATTGGTAGTTCACTAATAAATCTTGAGGTTACGTCTGCCTTTTAGTAGCATTTCAATTGGATGTGTGAAGGGTTTGGGTGGGGGAGGGGGTGTTTGTTTTCTTCCGTTTCTGTTTTTCTTGTTTGGACAATATTTGGTTGAACTTGAGAAATGTGTATTTGAAGTTGAAGTTAAAAAAAAGAGTATTTGGAAGCTTATTCTGTTTTTTGCAGGTCCTTATCATGGTGGAGTTTGGAAAATGAAAGTTGAACTTCCCGATGCCTACCCTTATAAATCTCCATCAATTGGCTTTGTCAATAAAATCTACCATCCAAATGTTGATGAGATGTGAGTTGTAAAATGCTTGATTTCTGTAATTTTGTGTAGATAATTTCATTATTCTCGTTTTGTTTAATCGAAGTCTGAAATTTCCCGGATTATCATCTTTCAGGTCAGGCTCAGTTTGTTTAGATGTTATCAATCAGACTTGGAGTCCCATGTTTGGTAATGTGATTTAAGCACATGATTAGATTCTTGAAATTTCTTTGGCTTTGCCACCGATTTCGTCTTCAGTAATTATAATATCTGGCTTTGATGCAATATCCACAGATTTGACAAACGTGTTTGAAGTGTTTCTTCCACAACTTCTCTTGTATCCTAACCCTTCGGACCCATTGAATGGAGAAGCAGCTGCCTTGATGATGCGAGACCGAACTGCATATGAACAAAGAGTTAAAGGTAAATTCAGTCGTATCAGGTGTTTATATGTTAAAAATATCTGTAGCAGCTTCAAGTAGATGAAAAGAACCGACTTCAAGGTTTCTTGAATCTTTTGGTACTTTGTATGCCGTGTGCATAATCTCTTTGTTAGACATGTTGGGAGTAGGCTAGACTCGTAGAATTACAATCTAACAGTTTTGTTTTGGTTTCTAGGGAGTTGGTTCTCCTTTATTTGCTTGATATTTGCAGATATTAAAATATGGTTAGCATTCTATTATTGGCAGTGTGCTCTAAAGTTAGCTTCCGTTGAACATTTCATGGTTAGACCATGTCCATGTGAGCCTGTGAGGTTTAATTAAACATATTGAAGTTACTGGCTTTCAATTCCTTTTCATAGGCAACAACAACAATGACAACAAGCCCAGTAATTTCCTACCAGTGGGGTTTAGGGAAGATCTGATGTACGCAGCCTTAACCCTATCCTGGAAAGGCAGAGAGGCTGTTTCCGATAGGCTCTCGGCTGGAAAACGGATGAAAGAAGATAAAAAAGTGGTGGCAACAAGTAGGAATAACAACAAGATAAAAAAGATCGAAGCCAAGAAAGCAGCTATAACTCTAGGTAGTAAAAGTAATCTATGAGAGAAAGGATATCATACTAACACTGACTATGTTGTATGGAGCACAGTGTTGGCCTGTTAAGAATCCTCATGTCCAGAAGATAAAAGTAGCCGAGATGAGGATGTTAAGGTAGGTGTGTGGGCATACCAGGTTGGATAAGATTAGGAATGAAGTTATTCTGAATAAGGTGGGAGTAGCCCCTGTGGAGGACAAGATGCGGGAAGCGAGGTTGAGATGGTTCGGGCATGTTAAGATGAGAAGTATAGAAGCCCCAGTCAGAAGGTGCGAGAGGTTAGCCTCAGTGGGTATCAGGATGGTTAGAGGTAGGCCTAAGAAGTCTTGGGGAGAGGTTATTAGGCGGGACATGACACAGCTAGAGCTGACTGAGGACATGGCTTTAGATAAAAGGGTGTGGAGGTCAGAGATTATGGTAGAAGGCTAGTAGGTAGTCGAGCGTTTTTCTTTGTTTTGCTCAGTTCGCTAGCATTAGTGTTAGTATATACCGACACATTCTTATCACACAAGACACCGGAAGCGAGCCTCCACTTCATCCATCCTGCTCCGATACGGTGCGTAACATCCTCATCAATCTCCCCATTACCTTGTATAATAGATCCAAGGTACTTGAACCTACCTTTTCATAGGCACATTTGAAATATTGGAACTTAGGTTTTTGATGCTAAAAAAGTGATTGTGTTCAAATTGAGGTCTAGCTTAATTGTTCTTAAACCAATTTAACACAAGATGCTGTATTAGAAAGGAAGTGAAGTGGTTGGAAAAAAAGAAGGAAGTGAAGTGCAAGAACCAGAATCCAAATGAGATCCTTAGCCAAAGAACTATGGAGCAGATAACATGTCGCCTAAACGATCAATCATTCTTCCTACTTGGCACTTGCGCCTAAAGCAAGGTTAACCTTCAATTGGGACACTGTTGTACATCAGCCTTCTCATTTTCTTGGTCCTGTGCTTTGTATAGTTTCTTAGTCTATCTCAATGAAGATGTCCACCGGATCTAGAAGTACCGTTCAACCTGGTCAGCGGTCCTCATCCAGCGTGCGGCAGATTTGCCGACATATAATGTGGAAAACTTTCTAGTATACGTCCACTTGAGAATGAAGAGAACTCATAGTTAACCTGTTTCTAGCGTTCCAACTAGCTAGCAGAGTCTAACCATCCCTAATCTGCTTTGAGTTGTTGCTATTCTGGTGCCTATGGTGTATATAACTGGAGAAAGCTCAAAAACAAAAAGAACAGGGAAAAAAAAAAGGGAACCTCCAGCTGCTGCCGGCTTAAGTCAGACCTGCCTTCACTTTCTTTCCGGAGAAGGCAACATATAAGCAGGTCATCCAACTGTGGCATCCTCTTTAATCATTAAACCTTCCAATGCTACCATTACCAGGACCTAGTTTTTGATGGAAATACAATTAGTAAATTAGCTTTTTTACTTCATTTATATGGGACCAGCAAGTCAGAAACTTCAAGAGCAGCATCCACATACTCACCTTACAGAAACCAACTTTTTTTCTTGGGGAAATTTACCAGTAGGAAGTAGAGATGAAATAATGTTAGTCAAAGGAGTTGCGGAGACAAACAGGTTGTGTTTAAATCTGCTATCCCAATTGTGTTCTCCTGTGCCCTTCAAAAGTGTTGCTCTGCACCTACCCTACTTAGCCAGAACACTCGGTGGGAAGAGGTTAGCTCAGTGTTATTAAAAGCGCACGCTTCTCGCTTAAAGCGCAGAAGCGAGGCGAGGCGACTGACCTGCGCTTTTCTGCCCTAAAGCGCGACTCACATGAATAAGCGCACGCTTTACCCTAAAAAGCGAGAAGCGAGGCGATGAAAAAAGCGCAGAAAAGCTCGCTTAAGCGAGGTCCAGCCATCTGCTAGGGTTTTTAAAAAAAAAACTTGCAAATACAATTACGCACAATACTTCCAGACATCTGCTTCTCTGCTGCAAGCTACGACTACACTGTTCGAGTAAGTTTCTCTTCTTCTCTTCTTCTCTTCTTCTTCTTCTTCTTCAGTTCTTTCTTCTCTTCTCTTCCTCTTCTGATTTTTTTTTTTTTTTGAAACTGGTAACTTACTTCCTCTTCTGATTTTCTCTGCTTGTTCACTGTTCGACTCCTTTTTCTCTTCTTCTTTCTATTTTTTTTCAGTTTTTATTGCTCTGTTCTGCCCTAATTTATGCTCTGTTTTTCTCTGTGTGCTCTTTTTGTTTTTTATTTTCTGTTCTTCACTGTTCACTGGTTCGACTCCTCTCCTCTGTTCTCTTCTTTTCTATTTTTTTCAGAACTCATTTCTCTGGATACATAATCTATAACAGAATCTTTAAGATCAGTGTGACAGGGTTGCTGAGCATGTCCCAGGATTTAGTTAAACCTTTTCTGATTGATTGTATGAAAATTGACAGAGCAGAGTAGTTTAGAATTTAGGCTGCGACCGCCTCCTGGTCATTTCTCCTCTCAGCGACTAGGCTACATAGATATTTGTTACCTGCATTCTAACATGAAATAGCAAAAAAAAAAAAGGATGCCATCACAGTCTTTAATGATGCATAAAATTATAGATATTATTTGATGGAACTCTTCTCTCCCACCTACAAACTTCGTGATTAGGAGATTGATAACGCTCATCACTTTTTTGCATTTGAGTTTTAACTTCTATGTACTGATGGTATATTGGGTTATCTAAACGGAAATTATAGGTAGTAAGTGAATTAGTAACTCGAAACATAAGGCAGGTAACCTTCTTATGGCAGGTTATATTGCACGGACAGTGTAAAAATTCCATTGCTGTTAGCATATATAACTTAAATCCTATTGCATTTCCTTGAGACTTCTGCATATAAATTAGTACTGATCTGAAACATACATTCTTCTTGTCCAGAATATTGTCAGAAATATGCAAAGCCGGAAGATGTTGGAGCGGCCCCAGAGGAGAAGTCAAGTGATGAGGAGTTAAGTGAAGCTGAATATGACTCGGATGATGAGGAAATGGCAGGCCCGGTGGATCCATGATAATTCCTTCATTTCCATTACTATCTGTATCTGTAAATGATGTTATTTATCCTGTTTAAAATCAAGTTAAACTTCATAGTTAAAGACTATTCGTTTTGAGGGGGAATCCCATAAGAAGTTCCCCTCTTCTGTAAGTTTAACATCAATGTAAATAGATTTTATGTTTAATTTCCTTAATGTTCTTTTCTGTTTGCTCCTTTAAAAGCACAGGCTATTGTGCTTGTTTGGCATGATTGCCTTAGCTCAAATGGTAGAGCGCTCGCTTTGCATGCGAGAGGCACGGGATTCGATCCCTGCATCTCCACATCTCCCTTGAAAGGGAGCCTTAGCGTAACTGGTAAAGTTGCTGTCGTGTGGCCACGAGGTCACGGGTTCGAGACGTGGAAACAACCTCTTGTAGAAATGCAGGGTAAGACTGCGTACGATATAGCGGGAGCTTAGTGTATCCGGCTGCCTCTTTTGTTTTTGCCTTAGACTAGAAAAGGTACACTTAAATGTCAAAACCAGTGGTCTTGGTTCTGTCTAGAAAAATATTTAAGTTATATACGGAGGGAGAATTGCCGACTAGTGACCAGGAGGTCACTGGTTCATGTGGAAAAAAGCCTCTTAATGTAGTCCTATCCTTTGGCAGATCGCGTGCATAAGGGGGCTTAATGCACCAGGTTGTCTTTTTATCTATATAGTTTTGGCATGTAATAGCAAGTTAGTTACTAGTACATTTTTAACAAGATCACACCAATTAATGTTTATCACTTATCATAGAAGTTTACCTATAATAACTTTGTAATGACCTAATTGTGTGTGGAAAAAAATATACTGTTGGTGCACAGAACTCAAGTAAATAGGAGCAGTATTATGGCAGCTTCTGATTACAATCAAGCTCTCAAACCTGGAAAATGCAATTTGAAGGCATTGATAATGGTAGACACTAAGAACAGTTAGTAACAATTAACATCTGCCAATCTTCCAAATTATACAAGTGGAAATAAAACTATTCCTACAAATTGGTGTTTATAGAATACAAAACAGTGAGTCACACATCCAATAAATCACACTAAGTGTGAGTCACACATCCAATAAATCACACTAAGTGCACGTTTGGACATAAGAATTGTAAAATTCCAAAATAGGGGGAAAAATTTTTTCAAGTGAAAATGGTATTTGAAATTTAGAGTTGTGTTTGGACATGAATATAATTTTGGGTTGTTTTTGAAGTTTTGTGAGTGATTTGAGTGAAAAAATTTTCAAATTTTCGAAAATTTTCAAAATGCATCTTCAAGTGAAAATTTTATGAACAAACGCTGATTTCGAAAAAAAGTAAAAAAAATTTTTTAAAAAGGAAAAAAATTCTTATGTCCAAACAGGCTCTAAATGTAGCATTTTACCAAGTAACTGAAGTTAAAGGAAAAGAAATCCGACCTACCGGATTCGAACCAGTGACCTAAGGATCTCAGCAGTACCACTACAGTCCTCCGCTCTACCAACTGAGCTAAGGTCGGTCTTTGTGGGATACACTAATCCCATAACTACATAAAGTAATATATTTCGTAATAGTTTATCTCCAATTATTTTGTGCCCAATCTTCCCACAAAAGGTGCGTCCATATTCGTATTAGTATTAAGAATAAAGATTTTGAGAATATTAAGCAAACTATCACTTGAGTCACGGTTGCTCACCTTATTCTTTATTTATTTGACACACCACCAAAATGTGTCAAGGACTAAAATCTTACCCACTTTTATATGAACTTTTAACAGTTACTTCATCATGTATTTTCAAATTGAAAAGAGAATGAGTGCAAAACCCAAGATGCTTTATATGTCCAATCCGACTATATAAAATGATTGCATTTCATACATTTTTCAGTACTAGAAATGATATTCATGCATTCAAATTTTAAAAAGAATACATGAAAAAATCACTTATCCCACAAAAAAAAGTTGATCTAATTTGATGATGAAATGCTGCATTTAGTTAAGTCTCCAATATATATTAAGATTGCTTATCGAAAAGGGTTAATGGTGGATGGATAAGATCTTTCCGCCTTTAAAGGTTTTTGGTTGAATTTTGGAATGAAAAGAATAATCCTAATAGGGAGCACTTCCTCCTTTAATGGGCCTTATGCGGCGCGAATTTGAATTAGTCGGAACTTCAAAACGGGGTGTCAAATACCATATGAAACAAAAAAAGATTCCTTGGAGTTGTCCCCCTACCCTCCCCAACGAATGTTTTGGTTTATAGGTCTGAGAGTTCGAGCTATCTTTTGACCCATTGTAGTATATATAGTACCAGTCTACTAATGAAACTTAAACTTATTTAAGAACAAATAACATGATAATAAATCAAAGCATACTACCATGACAAATAACTACTAAAAGGCTGATTCCACGGCTTGAACCTGTGACCTATATGTACACATACTACCATGGCACAACACCATTATGAGCAAAAGCAAGATTCAGAAAAAATTGAATTTCCATTATCACTTTATGCAGAAACATTATTTCAGTAAATGTTTCCAGGTTAATACATATATTTCCTTGTACCAGTTTGACTACTAGTATATATTATTGTAAAAGGACATTAATCAACTTGAACAGGCTGCATGTTCTCTGCCTCTATCCTAAGCTCTTGATACAGGACAGATGACAAGTACCTCTCTCCAAAACTTGGATGTATTGTCTGAAATTCCAAACCAAGAAATTCAACATAACGGAAAAAGAGAACATTAAAGAGTATATTAAAGCAGCTTATATATTCATACCACAATGAGTTTGCCTCTGTTTTCTGGTTTTTTGGCGAGTCTAAGCGCTGCTACTGTATTAGCTCCTGATGATATCCCGACCTATACAACAATGGTTCATTTTCTATAACATAAAGCAATCATAACCGACTTGTACTAATCATACAACAACTATTACTACTATTATTACACCTCAATCCGCAAGTAAGTTGCCGTCGTATATATGAATCGTCACTAACCATGTCCCTTTACTACTATTCATATAATTCCATTTAATATGGACAAAAAGATCCATCATATTTCATCAAAAATAAGAGAGTGATATAGCATAAACTAATTTACCATAAGCCCTTCCTTCAACGCCAATTCCCTAGCCATATTTACTGCTTCTTCACTTGAAACCTGCAATACAACAAATATGGTCACGTACCAATTACCAAAATGACTAGCTATTAGAGGCGGACCCAAGATTAAACTTGATTCGTTGCACTTCTAATTATGGGTTCAGAATTTAATATCTATTGAAATTCTAATGATTTTTAACATATATATCTATGTTCCGTGTCAAAAGTATTAGATTCAGTTGAATCGCTATCTATCTGGCCGTAGTTCCATTTAAGCAAAACTCTGAATCACATAATTCTTCTGGTATGCATGGAATGAAATTAAGAACTCAACATACCATTAGAACTTCTTCCATTACATCCATGTCTAGGATATCAGGCTTGAATCCAACCCCATTACCAGTTATGTGATGAGGACCTGTATAAAAAAGATTTAGAAATCTTTGTAAAACAAATACTACTCATGCCACAAGAAATGAAAAGAAAGGGGGCCAGGATTTGTTTGTGATATGTTATTTGCAACAATTTTCTAGTTATATTCCCCTCTTGAGTATGCTGAATAGTAAATGATAGAAAGTCAAGTCAATTACCTGGTTTTCCACCATTCAATACATTGCTTTCTGTTGGCTCAATTCCATATATCTAGCAAGACAGCAGAATATATAAACATGATGTTACAGTACTGATTAAGCTCATAGGAACATTCACAAATAAAAAGATGATATATATTTACCTTGACATTAGGATTTTTGGATTTCAAATACTGCCCAACACCAGAGACAGTTCCTCCACTTCCTATTCCCATGACAAAAATGTCAACATTACCCCGAGTATCTTCCCATATTTCAGGGCCAGTTGTCTCAAAATGAACCTGTGTACAATGTCAATGTTGAAATGGCCTATATTAGTAGAAACTCTAGAAATAAGATTTGATAAATTTGTTTCTAAAGAAATATTTACGAAATATTTTAATTTAACTTTGTTATACTTTGGAACCATTCACACCCTTGTCGTTGGCAAATTGTCACTTATTTGCCATCGATCCTACTCCAGTATGACCCTAACCGAAGTATAATGGACGGTGATATTAAACAATAGTCAAAAGTAGAAGAATAAATTTGAACCTTTTGTCCTATTGGAAAAATAGCCTTTTGGGCCTAGTACACCCATAAATGGTGCTGCTGATAAGCTGACCCATTAGGTAATTTAACCCTAACCATAGGTATAGTCTATATAAACACCATAATGGGTATTTGGAGACTAAAACACAGAACAAAGGGTAGCTAGGGTTAGTAGTTCTCTGCATCAAAATCAAGAGGGTTTTAGACCGTGGAGGGTTTTAGGGGTATCATCCACCATGTGAGGATTCCCGACAACCAATGATTCGAGTCAGGTTGTTGCACCCGATCCACTTGCTTTGGAGAACTACTGTAAGTCTCCTAAACTAGCGATTACTTCAACTCCAAAAGTATATTTTGACTGTGGAATCACTCATTCCACGCTAAAGTTCCGTTAACGTCAAGACATATATGAGATGATTTGCTAATGTCAAGAGTATGAATGATCCCAAAGTATAACAGAAGGTAAAAGTAAGATATTTCATATCATAAAGGGGCAATTTTGAACAGTTTCCCTTAATTAGAAAATTTAGAAAGAAGATGGAGAGGTACTTGGGTATTGGCAGGATTGGAGAATTGTTGAAGCATAAAAGCATTAGGTGTAGATTCCAAAAGGTCATAAGCCTTCTTAACAGTTCCTCCCATTCCTTTAGTTGGATCAGTGATTACTAAATCAGCTCCAAATGCTCTCATGCATACCCTCCTCTCCAAGCTCGTGTAGGAGGGCATCGTTAAAACCATTTTATAGCCTTTCATGGCCGCCATAAACGCCATACTTATTCCCATATTCCCTGATGTTGGCTCAATTAGTGTTGTCTGCATATTATACATAAAATAGATCAGAAGCAAAATCTATGCAAATAAAAACATCAAGTTAATCTGAACGATCGACAAATAAAGTATATGCAGAAGTTCTAGTTTAATACTACTTTTTCGGTCCATACTGTAAGCCTTATAAAATTTCTGTATACCCCTTTATAGA